TAAAAAGAACAGGCCAACTGCTCCCACAGGTCTGCCAGGAACAGTCTCGCCACTTATGTGGCCGAGATGACAGCACTAGAATGTGCCTTTTTTCCCATGGTGACTGTTAATACAGCAGCCCAGCATTAAACCAAGCAAATGTGGGAGGGTTAAATGCAAAGTCATTTTAGTAAAATGTGTATTGCTTCATGCCAAGGAGAAATCAAATGTTATGATGCTACACTATGGGGAAAAGCATACTATATTTGGCATTGTCCCAAAATCCAGAAACACAAATGACTTTAACCCATCAGTGGCTAGAGCCTCAACAACATGTCCTTTTCCATACCAAGATGTCCCTGCTCATACCCACACCTTCTTTCCCAACACACACACACACACACACACACACGCGCACATATACATACATGTATGTCTAGATTCTCCCCAGAAGAATGTTAAATGATCTTCAAGCTTGAATGGGAGCCTAGTAATTAGCTACCTTATAATCACAGAGTTGCTTTAGTCTTCCCTGATGAGAAGATGATGATGATGATACTGATGATCATGATGATGAGGCCTGATTGCCTCTGGCATTAAAACAAAATTTTAAAAACAAACATGCATTATGATTTACTCATTATCAGTCATCTTTGAAAAGCATAGTTAGTTGCTTATTTCACACCTTTTGGAAATAATCTGCATGTTCTCTGGAAAAAAAATGACTCATAAGAACACTGGAATTTGGGTCAAGAGACAGTCCTTTAGCTTCAACTCAAACACTGATTTGTTGTTGACCTTGGGAGTGTCCTTGGGTTCTCTGGACATCAGTGGACAACTTGGCCTGTACAGTCAGGGAAGCTGCATTAGCCAATGTATCGTTTAGGCCTGTAATAGAAATGTGACCACCATGGCTAATCCGAAGCTGTGCCTTTTTTAAAGTGAAGTTTGAAGTTGGTCAGTTCAAAACTGCTCCTCTATCCTTGGCCTGTGAATTTCATCCTTATGGCTTTCAGATGGCTATTGCTACTCTAGGCATCTTGTTATTTTTCAGAATGAAAGAAGGGGAAACACAATGGGTGAGGGATGTGCCAGGCTCACTGAAATCTGTTCTCTCTCCCCCTTCCTCCCTCCCTGCCTCTGTTTCTCTCTCTCCCTCCCTCCCCTCTATCCTCCCCCCCTCCCCCCCATCCTACCTCTCTCTCTTCCTTCAAATTTAGAAAAAATACTTTGCTAAATCTGCAACAAGAACGTTTCTGGTGTTTCTCATGAGATTGATCTGGGTCACATGATCAACACCTACTACAGGGTACTGTTAAGTGAACCAACTGCAATCCCTAGAAATAATCAGGTTTCAGTTAGCCAGGAAGAGGAGGAGAAGAGCAGTTGCTTAAGCAATCAAGAAAGGCTGCTGTAGACAGCTCCCGGGTTTTACTCCATCTTGGATATTCTACAGATTGCACATGGAAACCTATCATTTCCCAAGGAGGTGGTGCACTGGGCCCTAATATTTACAGTGCTTAGTCCTGGTGTGGATGATCAAGTTCATCTCATCTGCATTCTAGCACCAGACTCTCATCTCTCACCGTGCACAGTGTGTGCTGCAGTAAAGGAAGTATCTATTCTCTGCCTCTGCTTTCTGTTTTCTCATTCCTGAAAGAGACAGGCAAGGAGAGGGCAGTTGTGTCACTAATGAAGGGAAGCCTGTTGGACCCAGGAATCCCATTTCAGGCCTATATATTTTCCTCATCCTCAAAAGTCTGGATGAGAAGCAGTGGAGGCTTTTTGCAAAGCAGTCTTTACTTCTTATTTTCTGCAATGCACATCTTTTATCTCACCTCTGTCCATGCTTTCTTCTTCTAGTCATATCCTCCTAGATATGATGTGAAACTGTGACTCCCTCAGTGGATGCAGGCTTGGTGGGAACATCAAGAGGCCATCCAAAGAAGGCCAGTGAAGATGTCCTCTTGAGGGCCTATCTTCAGCTCAGTGCTGCAGGAACAGAGCATCCTGAAGATAAAGTCGGAGGCCACACATCTTCTCTGGCTTATAGATGGGCTCTAGCCCTGTTCTCCTACAGCCTGGGTCCAAATAATTCCTTGTTCTTTGAATAAACACCTCCCTGACTAGGGCAGTCACAATCAATGCCTTTATTTTGCAACCTGCAAACCATGATTATGTCTTTGAATTGCATTCACTCATTCTACAGGCATTTGCAAACTATAAGGTGTTTGTAATGTGTTCAGAACAGGGGCTCTGGTCAGCATGTTTATCTAGATTTTGCCTCTAATCCACTAAATTACCTTGTGTGAACCTTATCTCCTCCTCACCCTCAGTTTTCTCATTGTTAAAGTGGAAAATTTGACCAGCCCATTAGCTTACAAGTGTAGTCTCTTCAATGCTTCAAGATGACACCCCTGAGAAAAACCATCAGGGGGTCTACATGAGAGTTTGGAGCAGCCTATCTAATGGGCTCTGGGCTCCCAGCTCACTTCAATTAGAACAGCTGTACTTTCATCCAATTTACTTATCAAGAATATTTTTTATTGGCCCTCAGCTTAAAATAAATGTTTAAAAAATGCTGGACAATGTTGTCTTCTAACAGGCCCTTCCAGGTCTGATGTTCTGTGATTCTAAGCAGGTGTAGTATTTGGTAACATCTTTTCATTCGTTGGCATAATTGGGACTGCAGGAATGCTTGCCAAAACATAATCTATATCTAAATAAAATCTTCTGTGTGTGAAACAATGCAATAAAGGACATTCAGAAAAGAGCATGCTGCATGGAACGACTTGAGACAAACAAAGCACAGCTCCCTGTTTTGCAATTCTGGCAAGGTCTGGGCTGGGGAGCTGCAAAAGAGGCCCAACACAGCTTTGGCTGGTCTCTACTACTGCAAAGCAAAGCCCGTAAGCAAACTGAATCTGGGCCCCATGCTTTTGTTGGGCACATGCAATGTTTTGAAAACTTTCAATTACTTATCATCAATATTCATACATTTAAAAATGCACTAAAAGACCCAGTGTCCAGGCATCTTTTGAAAAACTGGAAGATGTGACAATGACAAGCTTGCATTTCAATTGGACAGCGATCAGCTGGAGAGGGACATGCTTGTCCCCTTGTATTGGCATGTATCTGCTTCCCTTGGCTCTGGCCCCCTGCTTTTTCCTACTTGTAAATTCATACTTAAACATCGCCTTAGTTTTTCTCCTTGGAAAACAAGGGTAAATGAAACAAAAATTATTTCTTATATCTCGTTACTCATCCAAAGTAGGGAGAAACAAAAGTTAGACTGAGAAAGATGCTTTTCTAGAAAAATAGGGCAGAGGGCCGGGGATTCAGCTCAGTGGTGCCGCCACTACAGGGGACAGTTACCAATGTCTGGGGACTTTTTTCATCATCACAACCTGGGAGAGTTTCACAAGCATCTTAGAGGGTAGAAGCCCGGGAGATCCTGCAGTACCTTACAATGTACAAGACAGTCCTGGTGACAAAGAAGTATTTCCTCCAAAATACTGACAATACCTCCTCTATGGGATTTCTGTGGGTTTAACCTGCCACTAGCCTTCACTTGTTTACATCACTTGCGTGAACTCTGCTCTGTGGCCCTTAGTCATAGAGGCCCAGCTTTGATGATGATGCCAGAACATCAGAAGTAGTATCTGTCTTGTTGGGGGCAGGGTGAGAATAAGAATAAGAACTCTGATGTAGGTGTAGTAGCCTTCATGTCCTCCACCCCAGTCTTTACCCTTATGACCCTCATAAACAATCCCTTAAAGCCTCATAGCTCCTAAACGTTAGGGCAAGGCCTCAAATGAACATGTGGCAGTCTGTTCAGGGCCTGGATCCTCAGCTGTACCTTGGACTTTGTGAGCCAACTCATTACCTTCCAGCATGTGCTCTTGGCTGGAGTCAGATGCTGCCAACAACCTCAGAGCATAGCCTGGTAACTTAATTTCTATGCCACCTCCTCCCTTCCAGTGGGCTTTGCTGAAAAGGGCAGGAAAAGGCTGTTCAGAAAATCTGGTTGAGAGGTTGAGGGAAGCAGGACACAAAGTTTAGAGTGGTAATGAAGGTTAAAGCCAAGGGATGGGTGCAGGTCCTATAAACGCCTCTCCTGAAGAGGGTTGGGCAGTTAACCCTCAGGCAGAGCAACTAGGTATCAGAGAGTAAAGAAGGAAGTCCCCAAACCAGAGTGGAAACCTCATTCTTCTTGTTCAGTAATCCACCCATCAATCAATCATCCATCCATCCATCCATCCATTCATCCAACCTTCTCCACATCCAGCATATAGTTATAGATCAGGCTTCAGCCTATGGACAAAGTTGATGATCCCTGCCCTCATGAAATGAAAACCATGCTCTGAGACTTTCGGCAATTTGATCTCAAACAAGTTATTCCCTCTCTGAGTTTCCTGATCAATAAAAGGCGAGGGGAAGTTTTCCATCTTGTGGGAGGTGATATGAAGTTTAAATAAGCTCTCTGGGCACAGGCCTCATTGCGGCTTCCAATAAATGGCTCCCTCCACTCCTTTATAGGTAGATATGGCTCAGGTAATCACAGATGATTCCTGCACCTCATGATGGGAGGGGAAGCTTCTGGGATCACCTTTCAGCTCAAAAGACCCTTTCATCTTCCAGAGAACCATTCTCCCCCAGAACCACATCCCATAAGAACAGAATGCAGAATGACCCAACACTATGCAGACAGCAAGCATATCTATGATGTGTGAGTACCTGAGTCCTACAGCAATCCTGCCTCCTCTTCTCTCTTATAAATGCCAATTTGACACTGAAAGCCCTCAGGGGCATCAAGCAAAAGCAGAATCACACTGTCCAAAGGGGTAGGAAGAGGGATCGGCACCCTCTTAGGTGCTTATTAAAGACCAAGGGTGCACACAGTGATGCAGTGTGATTTCAAGCTCTTGCTGCTGAAACCCCTCTGGCTCTCTGATAGACGGTCTTCAGGAAAGAGCTGGGCACAGGCACATGCCTCTCTCTAGATGTACATGCCTACTCACCAAGCTTGTACCACATATCACGAATGGAGAAGCCAATTAGTCGTCTCATGTCCTCATACCTAGAAGAAACAAAAACAGCTGCTTCAGGCCCCACCTCAGAGCATCTCATGAAACCTCCTTTCTCAGGAGATCCGAGAATGCAACTTACTTATTCAGGATTTTGTTGTACTTGGCGTGTGAGAACTGCTCCAGCTGCAGAGAATCCTGTGTGATAAAAGCCACTGCCAGATGAAAATAGTTGTTCCACAGCTGTAAATGAAGGGAGAGAATAGTCATGGAGAGGGCTTGAAGTGGGAAGGCACATTAACCGCTGGGTAACGTGAATAATTTATGAAGATGGCAGAAGACAGAGGCAGAACCAGTTTAATTGTGTGCACTGCAATTTTCTGACTGGTACTGGCTGTGAAATGAACATGCTGGCCAAAATGAGGACAATGGGGGGATTTCTGTAAGTGCTGACCTCTGACAATGGGGTTTAGATGAGGGGAAAGAGGAGGGTTTTAGGGCTGGATTTTTCAACGTTGCTCTTGTGCTTTGTTTGGTTTTGTGAAAGATCACTTTCCTTAATGGAAGCCTGGTGGTTCCTGCCCTGACATGAGAGGTCACTGAAGGACAAGGGACCTGCAGGGATTTACAGCATCCCTGGAGGTCCTCCCTAAATCACCTGACAGTCAGTACCATCCTGCAACCCCTTCTGTCCTAAAACACATCGCTGTTTCCATCCCCTTTGTTCAGTGGTTTCAAAGAGTTTTCCCAGCTGGTGGCAGCAGCAGCAGCACCTGGAAACATGTTAGAAATGCAAATTCCCTGGCCCCGGCCCAGACCTGCTGAATCACAGCCTCTGTGAGTCAGGTCCAGAAACGTGTGTGTTAACACAGGGTGACCTGGACATTTGCTTCATTATAACCCCTGCAGGCTTAGTTTATATGTAGGGCTGTCATAATTTTCTCATGTAGATGATCTGTTGGTATAGAATATGAGCTACTAATATCAGAGACCACTCTCCCAGCTAGTGGTGAAATAAAGCAGGAGGATTCAGCACATGGTGAGCGCTCAAAACGATGAGTCGCAGTGAGGACGATATTGATATAGGACCTAGGCCAGAGAGATGTAGATCTCAGTCAGGATGTTGGGCCTCTGTTAACCTGTCTACAAAATTGTACAAAGTTGTGTACAAAATGGTACCCACTGCAGAGGGCTTTAGTAAAGATGCCATGAGGTGATGTATTTAAAGGGCATGAATCACAGTGAGATCTCAAAAGCACTTGTCAGCCTTATTGTTGTTTTACAACATTTGAGAGGTTCCTTGTGTAGCCAAGTCAAGAGCAAAGTCTAGCTGCTCAAGTGCTCAGGGCTTTGTTATAAGATGCCAAGGTCCTGCAAAGAGCAGGTGGGGACAGCTTCACCGAAGAAAGCTGACTCACTTTTAGGCCCTTTCAACACTGAATAGCACGGATACAGGAAACGGCAACAAGAAAAATCACTCAGCCATTGAGACACAATCTTCAATTCAAAGTTCATCCCAGGTTGCAGATAAGAGTAGGAAGGGGGCAGCTCCACCACTGATGAGGCCATCACTGCCACCCAGTGTATCCAGTGGGCTGTGGTTTCAGGTTCAGAATGCAGCAAGTCAAGGACCCTATATTTACCATGGGCCGAAACCCCCTTACTTCACATGGGTAAACATGAAGGACTAGTTATGATAAATGGCCACCCACTAAAGGTCACATTTTAGGTGCATATAATGAGAACTGAGTTATTTTTAATTAACTCTCAAAAAGTTATAAAAGTAATATGCAGTTAAAAATTTAAATGACAGAAAAGATAATAAAAAGTTATATTTCCACCCTACTTTGAAGCCTCACCTAATTGTCCAGAATAGCATACTGACAATTACTTGGGTATCCTTTCAGAATTTTTATACATAAACAAACATGTACATGGACACCATTTTTAAATAACATGCTGTATTTTGCTTTTCTTAGAAATATATCTTGTAAACATTTCCCTACTACCAAATACAGATCTGCTTCATCCTCTTTTACTGCTGAATAAAATTATGTTATAAGGATGTACTTTAATTTTAACCAATTCCCTATTTATAGACATTTAGCATGGTTCCAACATTTTTCCTCCAGCAATAGCACTGTAATCAACATCCTGTTGAAACATCTTTATGCCTGAGAAAGTGTATTTGTACTCTGCATTCCTGCACTTGGGATTGCAAAGTCACAGGGTCTAGGTTTTGCTGTTGTTTGTTTTCATACTGTATAAATACCTTCCATGGTACCATCCAATCACCAGTTCAATCGCCATGAGCATATTACCTGACCTCTCTGGATCTCAGTTTCTTTATCAGAAAAATGAAGATAATAGTGTCTAACAGGTGAAAGAACTAAATGAGGAAATCGTGACAATAAATTCCTACTATCTTGCAATATAAGTTCAAACACCAAAAGCTTTCCCCAATCACCCATTCCAACATAGATCTACCCACTGTTCACCTTCATTAAACTGTGCTTTATTCACAGCTTTATATTTTAAACAAACTAATTTTTTTGTTGCCTCTACTGGATGTAAGCATCATGCAGGCAAGAATATCTTTCTCTTATTCACTATTTTATATACCGTGTCTGGCTTCATGTCTGACCTTGCATATATTCTAGAAATCTTGGTTGAATGAATTCATTAATGAACCACTCGCGTCTGCTGACAACATTATGGTATTTGCATTCCTCTCATTTTAGACATCAGAAATTGAGGCTCAGAGAGGTCAAATAACTTGCTCAAAATGGAAAACATATCACTTGAATCTGAGTTTGTCTCACTCTTGGACTTTCTTTAAAAATGTTTTATATGTAGTTGACAATAATTACACAAATTTATATGGCAAGTATGGAATTTTGATACACATATACCTCGTGTGATGATCAAAGCAGGGCAATTAATATATGAATCACCATAAATATTTATCATCTCTTCGTGGTGAAACAGTCAAGTCCTCTCCTCTAGCTACTTTGAATTTATATTATTATTATTGACTGGAGTCTCTGAACTGTGCAATAGGACATCAGAAAATATTCCTCCTAAATCACCATAATTTTGTACCCACTGACCAACTTCTTTCCATTACTCCTTCCTCTCAGCCTCCACAGCATCTGGTAACTATTATTCTAATTTTTACTTTCATGAAATTGACTTTTAGTTTCTGCATATAAATAAGTTCATGAGTTATGTGTCTTTCTGCGCTTGCCTTATTTGACTTAACATAACATCTTCCAGGACTATCCAAGTTATCGCAAAATATAGGAGTTAAATTCAACTTTTTATGGCTGAATAGTATTCCATTGTGAAAAAGTACCACATTGTCTTTACTCCTTCATCTGATATGGACACTTAGATTGATCTGTATCTTGGCTATTGCTGTGAATAGTGCTGCAATGAACATGGGTGTGCAGATGTCTCGTTGATATATCCATTTCATTTCCTCTGAGGATATGTCCAGTAGTGGGATTGAAGGGTCATATGATAGTTTTAACTTTAATTTTTTTAGAATTCCTCATATTTTCCATAATGGCTTACCAATTTGCATTCCTACCAACAGTGAGCAAGGGTTCCCTTTTCTACTCATCCTTGCCAGTGCCCATCTTTTGTCTTTTGGATGACAGCCATTCTCACTGGAGTGAGGTGATCTCATTGTGGTTTTGACTTGTATTGCACTAATGATTGGTGGTGGTGTACATTTTTTCATGTATCGGTTGGCTGTCTTCTTTTGAGAAATGTCTACTAGGGTTTTGTTTTGGCTACTCAATTGCGTTCCCTATATATTGTGAATTTTAACCCTTCATCGGCTGTATGGTTTGCAAATATTTTCTCCCATTCAATAGGTTTTTCTGTATTCTGTGTTTTTTTCTTCACTGAGAAGAAGGCTTTTAGTTTAGTGTAATCCCACTGTTCTATTTTTGCTCTTGCCTTCTGTGCTTCTGGGGCCTTGTCCAAAAACCCTTGCCTAATCCAATGTCATAAAGTATTGCCCTATATTTTATTTCAGTAGTTTCATAATTCTGGGTCTTACATTTAAGTCTTCAATAGGACTTGCCCTCTTAAACAACCTAGTCTTCTGCTAAGATTGCTTTTCTTTTCCCCTCTTGGTTTCCCTTAACCTTAGTTGTTGGCTAAGTTTCCAGTGGTTCATCTGATATCTTACAGTCTTCACAGCAGAGAACAAGGATTTGAATCCTTCAAGATTCCTTTTCAGAAGGGTGTGGTGGTGCTGAGGCAGGAGGATCACTGTGAGTTCTAGACCAGCCTGGACTACACAGTGAGTTCCAGGTCAGTCTCAACTACATAGTGAGACCCTATCTCAAAAAAAAAAAAAAATCATTTTCAATGGGCTTGAATTATTTACCACAAAGTCCAATTAAAAAAAGAACCTGGCACACGGTATTACTAAAATGCTGTCAGGTTGACCCCTCTGTGATACAGGGTCCAGCTGCCATGACCACTTAGGGGATGCTACTGAGCCTGGGGGTGAAAGGTTCCAGGTATGGATTTGGGTGAGGAACATCAGACCACAGGTTGTCTGGACCCACAAAGCTGAAGCATGCAGGGCTGGGGAAATGGTGCCAGGCACGAGTTGGAACCATTCCAACCTGAGTCTCTATCATGAGTTTGCTATGGCACAATAAACTTTCTGAATGCTTTGATAATTGTTCCTTCTGGGCATGTCTCTGTCTCACATTTTTTTGTGGTAGTGAGGATTGAAACTAGGGCCTTTGTACTAAGCTACTTTCTCAGAGCCCCTATCCCAGAGCTTTTTTAAATTTTGAGACAGGGCCCTGATAAGTACTTCTGCCATTACTGGTTTATGTTTCCATTATAAATACTGACCTTGTCCTCATTCCTCAGAGAGAATATTCTGGAATATTTTCCTTTTATGGGATCTCCAGTACAAGCTACAAAATGATACCAAGTTGGGCTGGTGCCCAGAAGATTATGCCAAAATGCCTCTAGGCTTATTCAGGATGACTACACCCAGAGATGAGTAGAGAAACTGATCTCAAGACCAATCAGACAGCTGCTTCTAACAGCAATTTTCCTGGAGCCTCTGTATAACCCCTCATTCCAGTCAAGAGTCTTTCAGAAAGTCTGATTCTACAGTCAATCACCTCAGCACTTTCTATTCCAGTGCTACTGATAGGGCAGAAAGTTTTCCTGGATGTAAATAGAGTCAACTTCTAGAATACAAAGGCATCTATTCTAAGTACCAGAACAGTAGATGAAGCTTGGGTGGTAGAGACAGGATGGGGCTCTGTCCCAGAGGCCTGGCATAGCAGCTAGAGAGGTCAACAATTTCTGGGAAGCTCAGTGTATGCACCAGTGAAATGGAAATATCACAAACCATTCAATTATATAAAGTTCTAAAGATCCTAGGCAGGTGCCTAATAAAGGTTGACTACTTTCTTCAAAATCCTGGGTAACAGAAGATGGATTTCTATAGTCTTCTCTTAAGGCTCCAATATCCTTGAGAATAGGGCAGGTGTCTTAGTCTACTTTATGTGGCTATAACAGAATACTAGAGCTAGGTAGTTTATAAACAGTGATTATATTTTATGTTCTGGAGGCTGAGAAGCCCATGATTAAGGAGCTCACAGCTGGTGAAAGCCCTCTAGCTGCAGAGCCCTTGTGCCCCAACCACCTCCTAAAAACTTCACTTCCCATATGGTTGTATTGCTGCAAAGTTTTCAATGCATGAACTTTGGAGCATATATTCAAACCCTAGCAAGGCTGTTTTCGCTTTATTTCCAGACTCTTCAAAACATGTTGCAATAGCTGGGGACCTCAGCAAAAGTCCTTGCTGAGTTGAATTATAAATCCTTTCTTGGTCTCCTCTGAACACACAAATGGTTGTAAACACTAAGCCCCACTACCCATAATGGGGCCTAGAAATGCAAATGATCTTAGCTCCTAGCAGAAAACACCAGTTTTGTCATTCTCCACTCTTGTCACCCTCAGAGTGGCACTCACAGAGCTTCTTGCTTTCTGCCAGAATTGCAAACCACAGTTCCAGAAAAGATATTGGGAATAAGCTCACTGTGTCTGCCCTGCTCTGGACAGCAGCTGCCAGGGCCAATAACACTAGGTGATAGATACTGCTCCCACTGATGTTAAATGCATAATTAATGGAACCCTATGAAGGAGACAAGGCGTGTTCTGGGCATGGTACAGAGAACAATTCTATTCTCATATGGGGGAGGAAGAAGTAAGAGAACAAAGATAAGGCTGAAAAATGACTCTGCTCTTGGGTACTTTTCATCAAATACCTATGGAAGTCTGATTAGAAAAAGGGACTTTATTTTATATTGTGGGCCACTTTCCTGTTTTGCAGAAGCTTATGGGTGGGACAGCTCCAGATAATGTGGTCATCAGAAAAATCCTCTGGACTATTCTGTTTATCAAGGACTGACATGAGTCCCCAGTCCAGACGCATCTCGGGCCAGCATCATAATCGTCATCATCATCAACATGGTAATTATTATAATTAACTCACATCTATTAAAAGGCTGCTATGTTCCCAGCACTGTTCTATGTGCCTTACATGAATTATTTTACTTAATCCTCACAAACGTCCAATGAGATAGCTACTAGTAGTATCTTAATGATGAAGAAACTGAGGCACAGAGAAAAAAAGTGATTTGCTTAAAGCTCATAACCTCAGACTTTCTCTGTATGGATCTGCCATTCTCTGGGCATCTCTCAGATACAGATTTTCTTTCAGAAAAATGGCACAAAACCTAAAAGAATGTCACGAAGAACTCAGGCTGTCTTTCCCTTGGAAAGTACTCCTCAGACCATGGAGGAGAGCAGTCAGGAAAGCTGGTTTGAATTTATAAGTGCCAGTAACCACGTAAAAAGGTGAACAAACAAGCTGGCTTTTTCATGGCCCAAACACTGGCTCTATTGGTCATAGGTATGCTGTTCCAAACTGTCCCTCCAAAAACGCAATGGCTTTAACCACTTCTATGAACATACCTGTAACTGGAGCCTGTAGGCACCAAGTCACTTTTGGTAGGGAATCAAACATTTCTCCTGATTCAAAATAGCTAAAATGAAATGTTTTGTTCCCCTATCAAAAAAGTATAATGCCAGAGATACTCTCATCCATATCCAGCCCAGCAGTCAACCTATGGTGGCAGTGACACTGTGGAGCTGGCATGTGGCTGTGGCTATCTGAGTTCTAGTTCCAATTGGGCTAAGGGGCTGTCAACTCATCACCTTTGAGGTTTATTCCTGCATCCTAAAGGGGACAGATTATTAGTCATGGTAGGTAACTTGCATTGTAGGTATAAGGTTGAAGGAAGATGATGCCCTCAGAGTGCTCCTCATGAGATGTGGCATATAGAACCCATCAGAAAATGGCAACTACTGTTTTTATCACAGTTATCAATAGCTGATTTGAATGCAAAATAGTGGAAGAGGATTTCTTCAAAGGTAATGTTTCAGCCCTACAAAGTCTTATAAATGACTGTTCTCAGCATGGTGGATACTGCAGGTCTCAGCCCAGATGTTACCTCCCCAATGGAGGCCTGCAGTGTGCCAGGCACAGAGCAGAGGGTAGTTTTGAGTAGGAAGTTTTTGTTCTCATGAAGCTCATTAAAGAAAGAAAACATGCATGTAGACAAATATGTACAAAAGATGATTTCAAATGACAATCAGTGCTATGGAGAGACTCCAACAGGCCCAGTGGTGATGGATGACTAACGATGGTGACATCAGTGGAGGGTCCTCTGAGAGGATTTGGACAAGAGAGACCCCTTTGATGATGAAGAATTGGACAGGAAATTGGTGGGATTTTCTTATGAATTTTCCCAGCAAGCCCATTGGCATACCCAATGCTGGAAAACCCCTTTGAAGTAGAAAATGTAGTTGACAGCATTTTGCAGATGTAGCACCTGACGCATGGATTCAGTCCTTGCCTTGCCTGAAGAGGCCAAAGCCCAGATAAAACCAGAACATCTTAGAGAACAAGCAGAAAATGCCATGGCCCCAGTTCATCAGGATTAGTGACTCACAGTGCCTTAATCTCCACTGTAAGAGATCCAGGAGGTCAGAAACATCCCTGGGGGCCTTTCCAGGGCCTTCTCTCTCATACCACTAGCCACAGGAAGCCATGCGAAATTTCCTCCAGGCTTTGAAAAGTTGGTTTTTCATGAACCTGGATCTGAAATGAGTGTGTCTCTGTCCCAGGGACATAGTTTTAGGCCCCTGAATGTCTCAGAGACTCCAACTTGGCTACTCACTAAAAAATGACTTTGGAAGAATTGTGAAGCGACAAAAAGATGGACTGTGAGCTTTGTAAATCATACGCTGTGTCTGTGATTGGCTGTTTCTAGGCTCCAATGAAGAGAAAAGAAAATGTGATGGATTTTTGAAAGGTGGCACCTGCTCCACTGAAAATAAATGAACACAGGTTTCCTCATTAGCACAAGATCCATTATGCAGTGACATTTGCATATGAGGCTCAGCTGGTGACTAGTTAATCAAGGCCTTGGTTTCAGGACCTGAGAACTTTCTTCCCCATCTACCCTCGCCGTGGACATCCCCAGAGACACTGGCGCACTGCTACACGCTTTGAGATCTGTGTGATGGAGCATTCAGCCTTAAGATGCCAGAACAGCCCCCACCTGCTCCAAGGGCAGCTCTGGTGCCTCACACTCACCTGGAACTCAAAGTTCGTATGTTCCAGAAACTTCTGGTTCATGGTTTCTGCAAATTTGTTGATAGCTCTCAGGAAGACCCTGAAAGAGAGAAGAAGGTTACTAGGCCATGCGAGACCTCTCTTTACTCTCTCTCTCTCTCTCTCTCTCTCTCTCTCTCTCTCTCTCAGGGAGAAGTTCAAATACCAACTGTTGATTTGCGGATGGTTATCAATACAGAGCAGTACCTGATCTCACTCAAGACCTGAGGCCATGTTTACCTTTCAAGAACCCAAGAGCTGTCTGACTTTTGAAAATTTGCATGGTCCTATGTTTAAGATATCAGAAGCTTATGACAGAAGGTTCATTCCATTCAGAAAAGATATAAAGAGAAACGACCCACCCAGAACCCCCAAATATTCTACCAGATTCTATCATCTAGAGAAAGCTGTCATCAACATTTTGATGAACATAATTTCAAAGTTCTCCCTAGACGCATATACATGAATGATATTCTAAGGATTCTAAGGATATCACTTTGATAAATGGCATTACACGATAAATGTTGTTTCACAGCCTGTCTTTTTTAGCCAAAAATAAATTGTGGGCTCTTTTCATGCCAATGAATGCAGATATACATCATCCTTTTTAATCACCGAAGAGCACTCCACTGTAGGGATATATCACAGTTTATTTAATCTCTTTCTTATTGATGGATCTTTTGGTGGTATATCTGCTTTTTCTATCATAAACAATGTTCCAATGATGATGATGCTTTGGTGCAGCTCTTTACACAACTCTTCACTCTTCTGCAAGTCATATTACTGCCCAAATATTATCCACATTTAACATCTTGGTACTTCTTGTCTGAGTACATTTGTCCTTGAACGTCTGCCTGGCCATTTTGTCCTCTCCTTGCTCCTTGCCAAGCCAGCCTGACTGTTCTTACAGACACCCATCTCTTGCTTTGTCATACTGTAGAACATTTTGTCCTAGGACAGCTCTCACCCAGATGACTATCATTTTAGATTAACAGGAGCCACACAGTAACTACCTGTCCATGGAATGGCTGGTTCAGGAAAAACACTTCTCTGGTCAACTTGGGTCACCATGGAAAGACCATAAAGGAAGTGCTTCTGGGTGGATTATTACTGTGGGCAATAATAGGGACTGCTTGGAAGCCTTTAAGAAACTTTATACAACACATATATACATCAGAAATATCCCCTCCTTGGGGCAAAAAAGCAGACATTCTTCTACCACTAATGGCACCACCTCAATGGTTAAAAGTTATTCCTTGGCACTGGTGGCTTGCCTTGAAAGAGGGCTGAGCATTCTTTGGCCAAAGAAATCCCAAGGAGATAAAGAAGGAAGAAGCTCTCAGGATGTATAGGAAATGCCCACCAAAGCTGCTGGCAATTTTTGGGTGGGCCAGGCATGTGGACAGGAAGCATTTGATACATGGGTGTCACTGGTCAAGAATGCTAGGCAGCCAGATGTTCATTAATCACACGTTTGTTGTATGAAAAGCAGTGTATACTGGTGTTGGGACCACAGAATTTGCCACCTCAAACACACATATACATACAACTCTGGTTTTGCTACTTTCCAGTTATGTGGGTTCAGGACATGTTACTCTCACCTCTAAAGTCTCAAGTTTTCTCCTCTGTGAAAGAGCAATCGTGGTAAAGCTAAGTACAATTCTTGACACACTGAAAACAGTAGCAAAGTAGTTATGGTGGCTCCAGATCCCTCCCTCACATTGCTCTTTTTTTTTTTTTTTTCCAAAGACAAAGAAAAACAGCAAAATGGACAGGGAAAGGACAAGAAGCAGTTTAGAAATATGTTTGAGGTAGGCAAGACCACACTAAGACAGAGTGAAAAATCCCACAAAATCCAATCCAAGCTCCCATCAATCAGGCTGTCAAAAAGTGAGGTTTCTTTGATTTTGCTGTATTTTAATTTGTTAATATGCCTTGAAACAACATTCGTATTTCCTCCTTAAAGATTAGTTATCTGATTCCCCAGATGGAAACCTATCGAGTGACTGTCATGTTATGGAAAAACATCTCAGAATCTGAAATGTGATACCAAAATGAGGGGCTTTATACTTTCTCAGTAGCAACAGAGCTATCAGGAGTTCCAGTAACAATCATTATTTTGCTTGCCAGCCTTGCCCTGTCTCTGGCTATCAGAGGCCAGCGAAGTGACCAGAAATTGACCAGTCCTATACTAATAGGACTCAGTGGCAGGAAGAGGCAGAGGAGAAAGTCAACTTTTTTCTCTCCTCCATAGCCACACATTGAGACCCCTTAACTTTGGTGCTCTGGTTGGATTTGTAAAAGTAGGCCTTTTTCCTTCTCATTTTTCATTTTCTTTTTCCCCCCATTGTCTCCTCCTCCTTCTCTTACCTCATCTTTAAGCAACTGTTCTTAAAATCTAAGCACTAATATGGTGATGAAAAGTTAGAATGAAAACCCACTTAACTCTCTTGCTGTTCTGAACAAAATGACTTGTTGAAAACAAAGGGCACTATCAAACTTCAACCTAATGCTTAGCAGGCTGTATGAGAGTAATAATAATCACAATCATATCGCCCACTTGCGCCAGGTTCTCTACTAAGCAAATGCTTTCCCTCCTTACCTGCCTCCTTTGCTCCCTTTTGCCATCTTTCTTTTTTTTAGTTTTTGTCTGTCTGTCTTTTCTGATCTCACAATTACTCTCTGAGCTAGATATTTTGCCATCATAGAGATATGAGTTTAGGTAACCTTTTCAATAACCCAGTCAGTACATGTAGAATCAGGATTTAAATGAAAGCACACTGCCTTTAGAATGTAGTTATTTAACCACTGTGCTAGTCTGTCCACAAGAAATCTTTGTGATTCTGCTCAGTCCCAGCTATGAGCTCACTTTATTAATAATAATGATGATGGCAGTGTCAAGTTATCATGTGTACACCTTGTGCTGAGTGCTCTGCAACATTACTCCAAGTTAATTCCATACTCTGAAGTGGCTGCTATTGTTACACCCATTTAACAGAAGAAAAGAATGACCTTTAGAAAGATCACATGGCTAATAAGCAGCAGGGTCCTCCAGGCTCATCCTAGCTTGGCATTTCTCTAAAGCCTCAGCTAGTTAAAAAAAGCACACTGGCTCCTTTGAAGTACTGGAAAGCTCTTTAAGCCACCAGGCTTAAGGTGTCTCCTTACTGTGCCTATGTTGTGCTGCTGCCCTGTTCATAGCTGGCTGGGTCAGGGCCAACACTTGGCACACAAAGTCCTCCCTGGGTTGGCTTGGTGTGTATAGGAGTATCTCACAGGTGCTCTATCCACTGGGGGCACCCAAGCCTATACAGGAGTAGATTGAATCCTTCCAGGGAGAATACAATGGACCAGAACCATGAGTAGAAGCCATGAACAGAGTCAGTGAGGAGCCAGATGCTATATGCAGCAGAGCAAGGAAACATAGACACCAGCTACTGTGAGCAGAAAGAAGCTGAAGAAAGAGGAGCCAAACCCAGGGTTGATACTGGAAAAACTCCTCTGCATGAGGCTTCACTGAGGCCCCAAGCTCTTTACTTGCCTCATGCAGCAGAACAAATCTTGGTTATAAGAAACAGCTGAGAGTCCCTATAGTTCCCCTCTGAGTGAGCCTGAATGAATTACAGACACCACTCTTTGGTCTGGGTACCTGTCTAGGTCAGCTCTAAGTACCATTCTTCTGAGCCATGACATTTACCTTTGTGAATCTCATTTGCATCAACTGTAGAACAAGCCATTTATGAAGGCTAAATAGAGCATATGAAGTGGGGGCCCAGTGCCTCCATTCATAAAAGTTCTGAATACAATCCTGGCATCTTTATTATTCTTAACTTACTATTCTTAACTTACTACCACCTCATAGCTCGGAGCTGGAAGAGCTGAGGTAGATAATAAGGCCAATGTGACACAACAGCACAGCACTGACCCATTCGCATGGGCTGGGTCATGTAAATAAAAGATGGAACAGAAGGTAGGCACAACCTTTTGAGGAGATCAATGAAGAAGGGGAAAGGGAAGGCCTCTCTGAATCCTCTTCCCCTGTGGTTCATGGGGTGTAGTTGATTCTACTGGTCCAGAATTGAAGGTGGAGACATAAGAGTTGGCTAAGGGACCAAAGCTCTTGTACCTCTACTCTTAAGAAGTGAGACACCCATTTCTTCAGTCTTTAAACTGGTCCCTTCCCAATGCACAAAAGGTCCACGTACCCAAAGGGTGAATTGGCACAGTTCAGAGCTCGGTGTCAGACATAGCTCAGCCCAGCTGCCTCGAAATTCCTGTATAACTGGGGGCCACAGCAAGCTCCCTCCACAAATTTGGAATCCTGAGCCATCTAGCTATCAGGAATAGCTGTGCCTCTCTCTCTCTTCCCATCCCCAGTCTCTGGGTGATGTGAATAAGAGGAAGTGAGAACTCCAAAAATGAATAGTCACCATAATTTAAGGTAGGTATGAGAAAGGGGGAGTGGTTTTCAAGGACTTGTGCCCATACCCATCAAACTACAGTATGATTGAACGCTGCCTTGCTGAACTTCCTAGGGTTAACTGTTGTGCCCTACTAGGTGCTTATGACATGGCTGACACAGAATTAGATGTTAAACGACAGCAACAAAGGTAGACAGCATCCAGCCAACATTTACCTCTTTGTAAAGTATTTTGGGTATATCCAGACCACAGGAATATAAAAATAAAAACAATAGCTAACATTTATGTAGTGCTTGCTATGTGTCAACATTGTTCTAACTCACAAAAATACCTAATCATGACCTAGTCAGTGCAGATATAAGACTGGGTACAGAGTGGTTAAATAACTTGGTCATACAACAGTGGAGACAGGATTCAAACCCAGGCAATCAGAAGTTTGAACTTCTCTGTGTCGGCTCTGGGCTCTGAAAGCATGGTTGTCATTATACACTTGGCCATATTTCCAGGGCATATGTACTGTTCTCCTCCAGTAGACAGAAGCTCTGTGCCTTCTGGAACAATAGCTTGAAAGACATATGCACTCCCTACCTCCCTGAATGCCCAGGGCATTCAATAAATTCATGCTTGTTGACTGCACGTGAGAGATGCTTTAGGAATGGGCATAAATCCTTAAACCCCCTCGAAATGCTAGCACTCCAGATCAAGGTGCAGAAAAGAGATTCCTAGGTATAATTTTGTTAATCTACAACATTAAAAAGAACTTGATCATTTAAAAATTAACCACATCACGTAAATCAGATCTTACTTCATGCTGCATATTACCAATAAGAAAAATGTTCCAGCAGGAAGTATTTCCTGCAAGAGACACGTCTTTATGTCTGTGCTTGCATACACAAACAGTCCACAGCTGGGGGACATTCAGGTCTAGAAAACTCCACTCTCTCTTCCAACAAACAGAAAATCTAAGAATAGCTGATACATATACACACATATACATAAATCATAAACAATAAAAATTTATAAAGAACATATACATTATAATAATAGATAATAGGGAGGAAAGTAGGAAACAAGGAAGGAAGGAAAAAAGGAACAGAAGAAGAGCAAAGGATAAATGAAAAAGAGAAGAAAGAAAGAGGAAAAAAGAAAGCTAGTTAGGATGTTCAGACTGAGAAGTGATGTTTGCCTTGGTCACATGAGTAGTTACATAATTTTGAAGAGGAGAGACTGGTGTCCTGGGGAATACCAGGCTAGGCTAAATCATGGTCTATGCTCTGTTTTTGCAAATGATGTGGAAATCTCCCACTACATAGATGTATGACCCAGTTTCCTATCTTGGCATTGTATTTACTACAAGCCCACAATGTGTTTCCCAAGTGAAACAGCAGAGGTTAGGGACTTGGGCCGGGTTCTAATGACTTCTCTGTTTCTTACCAGTGATATAACATTGAGAAGCCAGTTATCTATTCTGTGCCTCAGTTTCCTATGTATGAAATGCAGATTATGTTAGTTCATTATCATAGCAAGCTTGTTATGAGGATTACATGATTTAATACATGTAAAGCATTTACAACAGCGATGGATCTAGTTGATTAATAAATATTAACTATTATAATAGCACACAAAATGCAAAAACAGTGAGATAATTTTCAGGGCTCCATAAATGTAAAAGATTCTTGGGGCCAGAAGATGAAGAGAATCTACCTTCATAGTTATGGGCTCATGAGGAACAAAACTCATCACCTTTTTTGGTGTTGACATTATTATATGCTTCTCTAATCTAAGACTAAATTTGCTGATCACTTAGCAATGGTGATGCTACTGCTTACTGAGTTCTCAGATTCTTGTGCTCTACTAAAGAGTGACTCAATTCTATCCTCACCAGAAAGGGAAAAAAGATCTACATAGGGAGTTATTGCTATCTTCATTTTTTTCAGACCAGGAAACTGACACTCCAGAAGGTTAAATGACTCCCCAAGATAGGGAAGGTGGCAGAACTCAGCATTCTGAAGGCTAGGCTGTTTTCCTAAGTCTACCTTTAAAAATAAGATTGAAAAGTAAAGACAAATGTTTGGTTGATCCTTAAGAGAAAGAAATGTTTCTATTTGGGCAATAATTCTACCATCTTAGGTCCCTGAGAAAGTTATATTCTAATTTTCTAGGTATGGAGAAACAAGGATCATTATATCATCCTCTCTGGAGCCCCATTGCAGAAAGGACTGAAGTCCGTTGCAAGCTGAGATCTCGCAATCAGATGTCTTACAATGATACTCATGTAGTTCAGCACATGTTTCTCCCAGAACAGCTGTGGAGGTGGCTCAAAAGGGGACGTTTGCCCCAGTTCCTTGAAGCCATATCAGTGGTGGACATTTGTACATTTGCTTGTCCAGCATCTCTTCCTTTTTCAGGTGACACCTCCTAGGTTTACCTCTGGAGAACTCTGTCCCCTGCTTCCCTTTTGCTCCCTGCTCTCTGAGGTTTGGGGAGAACTGGCCACACCACCCTCAGTTTCACAGAAGGTCATGAGAACCAAGTGTGACATTCTTCTGGCCACAGAGATTTGTGAACAGGCATGTAACCCAGGCTGGACTTTTGAAGATTAGGCTGCGGACTTGTGTTGTACCTACTGTTGGACAGGTTTTCTATAAGACTTTCTGCTCTATTTGTTTATAAGCCTAACAAGACTTTTATTTGCACCTGGTAGAGTCCATTTTCTCCACTCAAAAGAAAACATCTGCTTGAGAATGAAGCCAAGAGAGGTTTAAAAAAAAACAGAGATAGAGATACAGATTCCTTGTACCACTGTCTGAGCTCCTAGACATACCATGCTTTTTTGAGTTATTTCAGTTATCTGAAGAAATAAATTTTCTTTTTGCTTAGGCAAGTTTAAATTCTTTAAAACTTCTAATCAATAAGTGCCCTTTGGATATACAAAGTTCACTTTATGTTTTGATAAATGTTAAATTCTGTACCAGGAGCTAGAAATGCACTGATAAGGTGGATGAAGAACTTGCCCTTAGGAAACTCATTCTCTAGTGGCAGAAACAGTCATATGACAAGATAGCTGTAAGCAGGGAAATAATGCTATAATGGGGTGAGGCATGCCAACACAGAGCAGGGGTGTTGGGTGTTGAGCAAGGGCCACAAGGTAGGGATTGTGTGGCTAAGAATTTGCAGGATGCTTCCATGTGGCATCTGGTCTAGAGGGTTAAGAGGGGCATCCAAGTAGAGTCATAGTTTATGCAAAATCAGAGAAACAGGGAAAAGTAGGCTATAATGAGAAACTCAGTAAATCCAAGATGGAGGATGCAATGAATTAAAGCCACAGCTTCTGAGTGTTTCAGGTAATTTGGCAAAACATGTAACTTTTGCTGGCAAGCAGGGAAAGGGCCCACATGCACAAAAGGTGGGTGCAACCTCAATCCAAGATGACTGGTCATAGATACAGATATGACTAGCTGCATAATGTGGGGCTCAGTGCCAAATGAAAATGCAAGTCCACCTGTCCAAAAATTAAAAACTATGAGATGATAGTCAAGTGTTAAAACTAGCATAGGGCCCTTTAGGACATGGGCTTTACACAACTGCACTGTGGCCTAGAAGCTGGTCTAGACATTAGGACTGTACGGGATCTGTCTCTGTGACCCAGGCCTGATTCCTATCAGCACTTTGGTCTTTGAGGAAGCCAGCCTTCCACCTGTGTGATGTAAACAAGGAGAATCAGGCAAGGTGGCAATGTACTGCAGAGCCGATCTGCCTTTTTCTACTGTAACCAGAGGCACAGATACTTCCTTCTGCCTTGACAAACCCCTATACCAGTTTCTAAAGCAGACCCAAGAGCACTGGGACAAAAGTGTCACAGACAAGGCTCTCAGGCATTCAGAGAGTAAAAGAACATCTTTTCAAAGAATTGGAAGGTCAGAGATGGAGGCCAGCTGGGCTGGAGTCAGCTCTCAGGCATACATGAAGGAGAAATTCTCAAATGTATCTGATGATGAAAATACTAATATTTCAATGTTCATAGTCTTTCTTCTTTCCCTTCCACTAAAGAGAATTCTAGGTTGGCCCGTTTGACTTCTCCTCTTCTAACCTCTGGGGACATGTCCATCTTTGCCAGACAATAACTGACTTTTGTGATAAAGAACAAAGGCCCTAGGTAGAGGGAGATAAAATAAGAAGCCAGTGGATTAATCCATTGATCGTTTCTTTCTTTCTTTTTTTTTTTTTTTGGTACCGAGGATCGAACTCGGGTCCTCATGTTTGCAAGGCAGGCAGTGAAACTGCTGAGCTAAATCCCTGGCCCTATTGATGGTTTCATAGCTAAATGTGCTATTAGGAGGTTGGCAACTAGGGGCACGCCTTTGGAGGATGTGTCTCTCACTCTGGCTCATTCCTCTCTCTGCTTCTGGCTGCCATGAGGTGGGCAGCATCTTCTGGTAGCCCCTGCACCATGATATTTCAGCTTTGGAGTTAGTCAACTGGACTGAAACCTCTGAAACAGTGAACCAAAATAAATCCTTCCTCCTTTAAGGTGCATACAGCAGGTACTTCGTGTCAGTAATGGACAGGTGATTAAGGCAAGGAAAAAGGAAAGGAAAGGAGAGTCAAGAAGGACCCATTTAAATGAATTTGTGGATAAGATTTGAGAATAAGGCTCTGGGGGAGACCAGTGGAAATCACAGATTGTGAAAAATACTGGGAGCCAGAGAAATAGAGAAAGAGAATATCCATAAACATTGCTGAGTGTTATGACTTGGATTTCATCTTGGTGAAATGATACTGAAGACACAAAAAGACTGAAAATATCTATAATTATTTTTATCTCATGTTGTACGGGGCCACGTGGGATTGGAGCTATACTTGGGTTACACTTATTTTCCATAAGATGCTAATAGGTATTGTATACACATACAGAGACACACCCATTACACAACCAGCAAAACGCTGTATCCTACATCCTGCTCTTAGAAAAATCACATCAATGTATTAAAAGCTCTGAGAAATTCCATAGCTCAGAAGCCTGCTCAAAGCTGTTTAATTCAATACTTTCTAAAGTTACTTTACCATATGTCACAGGATAGGCTTTATTATTATTTATTTATTTATTTATTTAGGTTTTTTGAGATAGGTTCTCACTATGTAGTTGAGACTGACCTGGAACTTACTATGTAGCCCAGGCTGGTCTCAAACTCACAGCGATCCTCTTGCCTTAGCCTCCCGAGTGCTGTGATTACAGGTGTGCGCTACCACGCCAGGCTAGGTTTTACTATTTTAATAAATTTAAAAATAATATAATTTTTAAATCACTTTCTACTTTTTCCTGTCTTGAGATTCCAGGGAAGGATTCACAGATAAAATATGGGGCTGTAACTGAGATACAAAGAATCAGAAGTTCGGGAGGACACTGAGTAGCTTTAAGATTGGCAAGGTATTCTTTGTTGGGTTTAAATGCAGGAGGAAAGGATCTGTTAATACCTTAATTCCTTCTCATTACGGACCCTTATCTCTGCCAGTAGTGGGAGGGATGGGCACGGTGGCCCTTGGGAAGTAGGTGGCAGCTCACCTGTTCTGCACCATACTCATGGCCATCCAGTCTCCGGGGTACACATTTTTCCCAATGAGGTCCTTGAACATGATGAAGGTCTCCATCAAGAAATCCTGAAAGAGTTAACACATAACCCCACCTGTTAACCTGCTCTATAGGAACTGATAGTGCATGTCCAGATTTGTTGGTTCTTTGAATTTGTCTGCATTACTTTGTAGAGGGACAGAAAGGAAAGGGACACAGCTTTTCATTAAGCAGTGCAGTGAAACTCATTGCAGTGGGCTGTAAATGGAAGCTTAAAAGTTAGCTACCAAGAGACTGCTTCACAAATAAGTGGAACATGAATATGGAACAAGAAGACATTCTGAAAATAAAGCACTATTAATTCTGTCTTTGAGAATAAAGAAGCAAATGTATTCATTGATGTGGCAATTTTATAATCATTTTCCCAAATATGTATTTAAGAAGGAAATAATCTACACTATATGAAAACATCTCAGGTCATTGAGCAAGCAAACTATTATTTAAATGAACATCTAATTAGCAGTGCCGTAAACAGAGCTAATTCTTCTGTCACACTTATGCACACGAGCAGTTTAAAGGAAACTCAGTGACAAGGACTCTTTTCCTTTCCTTAGAAGAGGTTCAAGGTGGACTTTAACACACTCTATCAGATTTTATAGGGGGCCAAACTTGGTCTCCATCTTTGCAGAAAACAAATTCCAGATAAAGACCAGAATCAAGCTGGAGGTAATGAAGCCATATCATCTGGATGCTTTAGGTAATCCTAAAATCCAGATGGGCCTACTCAGAATTCTTTCCTTAAGCAGGTAGTTTTCAAATCATTTCAACTGCAGAATTCATTGTTTAACAGAAATCTCATCTGACACCCAATATATGAAATAAATAAAAGTAGATCAGCCCTGGTTGAAGAGTGTGTGTGTGTGTGTGTGTGTGTGTTTGTGTGCATGTGTGTGTATCTATGGCACAGGATAGTGAGGCTAAGGAGAACATAATTTTATAATTACTGCATTATGCTAAAATGCAAAATTCTGGAAATGACATTGGTTCCTTTCCAGCAAGCTTTGCTTCTAGGGAAAATTATCTCAGTGGTCTAAGTCCCAGCTTCCACATCAGTAGAATGGGGGTAACATCTATCTCAGGGGATTACTATGCAGATTAAGTGCATGCTGTTTATTAGATGCTTAACACAGGGCCTGCAGCCTTGTAAATGCTTGTTAAATGCTGGGTGAAGGTGGAGGTGGGTATTATTATCTATCCTTGATAGCACTTGGGGAAGTTTGGGTCTCATGATGGGCACATCCCCTTGCTATAGGGATGAAGATGGCTTTAGCCTCATAGATGGGCCATGTGGCTTCTCAATGAGAAGGTACAGCATGGTGCATAGAAAACACCAAGGTTTCCCAGCCTGTGCTATATATTAGCTATGAAGCCTTGAGCAAGCAGATTGTAGACTTGAAAACTATAAGTCCCAACTCCCATGTCAGACTGTTGTGAGGCTGGTAATAAGAAAATGTGCATGTTTAATAAATAAGAATCCCATTTCCACATTCCTTACCAAGAAAATTTTCTTTCCATAAAAAAATAAACAATTAGGAATCTATCTCCATATTGCAGGGCATAGAGATGTGAGGGAAGAGACATGGGTTATTTGGCTTCCTACTCTTTACATTTTTTTGCCAATCCAGGACAAAGGTCCCAATCCTGCTTCAAGTGGGGAGAAGAGTGCCTTGCTGGCAAGCGGATGAAGGGGAAAGGCAATGGGTGTGTTGAGCCACTCTCTGAGACTGTTAACTGCTAGAGTCCTTGGTGACTCCAAGGAGAGCTAAGCGTGAGCTCCCGACAGCAGGACTCCTGAGTCTGGCAGCATTAAGGTGACAGCGACAAAGGTGTCCACACCAAGAGCAAAGTATGTTCTGCTATACCCCCAAGATGGGCTGGTCTCTGCATTGATAAAGTCATCTGCTGCAGAGGTAGGAGCCAAAGGCACATGCCACAGGCAGACAGTCCTACAAATAGGTCCTGAGAGGTGAGAAGAGGAGGACTCAATGGCCAACTTCCTCTCTGCGTTTGTTATCTTAAGGTAATTCTGTAATCGCTTTCTCTTAGTGAGCCCTTACTATGTTCTCGCACAACTCCTTCACAACACTTTGATATAGATATTATCCCCACCTTACAGACGGGAAACCAAGACTTAAGGGAGGTTAGCTCACCAGTCACACAGGTTACATGGTACCATCAGGTCTGACGTGGATTAAAGACATACTCCAGAGATAACAGGGAATCAAACGTACATGTTTATAACCTTAAACACACACATATACTCAAGATGTGTGGGGAGAGCTTCAGGTCCCAAAACTCGTGAAAACCGAGAGTATGATGTCACACTTCTCTCCCCTGCCCTATTGTCCCTGGCATCCTGCAGACTCACCACAAGGTCTGAGCTGGTCTGGAAGGTCTCAATATAGAAGGAATAGTGTTGGTCACCCATCTGGTCTAAGATGGCTGTCATGCATGCCACAAAGTGACTCTGCAAGAAATAAAGAAAAACACCATGAACAAGTGGGGAAAAACCATGGAATCAATCCTCTCCACTTCTTGGGGTTCAAACTGGACAACTCCCAACCATCCCTGATAAGTCTGAAAACAATGGAGAAACTCTGCTTACCAGATTAGTATGTAAAACTTCCCTATAAGAAAATGTTACCTTATTGCTCATTTACCAAACAAGCATTCATTGAACACTTATTATGTATCTGGGATTGCAATCAGAGCTTCAGTTATAAAAATAAGATGTGATCCATCATCTGATTTGCTGTTTGTACACTGGGAGAAGAGCACTGCTTGAGTGTCAGGAAATCCAGCTTATGTCAAGATCCTGGAGGCAGTTTCATTTTCTGATACATAGTGTTGTATGTATAAATCTCAATTGTCTTATCTGTAATGTGAGATAATAATCCATTGGACAGTCCATATCTTCCCTCAGAGAAATTGCCAAAAGGCTTAGATACCCTATAATACACTGAAGCACATTAAAGTTCTCTGCAGAAGGACCTGGTTTTGGGGGGGTTAAGGACCTGGTATTGGATTACCATGAGTCAGCCAGTGAGAGAAACCAGAACCCACAGGGATCCACACATGATAAGTCTAAGGAGGATTTTAACAATGAGAAGAGATGATGGTGCTGCTCTTTGTGAGTTTATGATCTAGTTGGAAAAACACGATTAACCTTTATGAAGGAGAAAGTACAGGATGCTGGATCTGTAAAGCAGACCAAAGGCCAGAAGGATCCAAACAAGGGGGAAATTATGGCAGAGATCTGGAGGGGAGGTGGGTCTGGAAAGATCCCTGGGAGAGAGGAGGGATAAGAACCACACCCTTTCGGGCACCAGAATACACAGCCAGCCTTTAATGCTTTATCCCTCCCAGATGGTAATGTGTGTTTTTCAGGTGTGCTTTCTGCTCATGCTGTCACCTAAAGCACCATGGATAGAGGTCTATTCTGGAATTGGTAAAGGAAACAATGATCACTGATCCAAAAGGGGCGAGAAGTCACTCTCAACTTCCTTGTGCAAGATCCCACTCAGGCTGCTGTCTTGGCAAGAAGAGGGCCCACTGTGACCCACACAGGGTGGACTTGCAGAAGATGCCTGGCTGGCATGATGCAGGCATCTCCAGGAGTCACTGCTATTAAAGTTAGCCTTGGAAGTATTGTGTTTAAACAACAAAACAAGGGCAGGGGATTTAGCTCAGTGGTTCCACTACCTGCCTCACAAGCACAAGGTCCCAAGTTCAATCCCCAGTACAAAAAACAAAACAAAACAATGGGTTTAGTATAATAAATTGCTGCTTCTGTTTATAAAACATTATCCTTTATTAAAAAATATAACAGGTGCTGCAGATGTAGCTTAGCAGCCCAGAGCCTGCTTGGTAAGTATGAGGTCCTGAGTTTGATCCCCAGTACCAAATATATATATGTATATGTATTAATATATAGATATCTGCATATACACAGCAGATTACAGGTTTACAACTTGGCATCAGTGGTAGAAAAATATACTAATGACCCGAGAAAGCCCCTTCTGTGTTTTCCCCCAGGAAGCCTTTTAGGTAAGTGAATGTTTTTCAAACCCTTATTCACCAAAGTAGCTCCCAAAGATATAGATGCAGCTTTGTTACCAGGTTCTTTCAATCAGAAAGTTAGGGATGGTATTCAGGATTAGCTACGTAAGTCATGGGACCTGGAAGAAAGTGATAGCGTAGGGTTGTTTCAAACTCTGAGAATTGTCAAACAGCCATGTGAGTGTATCATGAAGCAGGGCATGCACACACAGGAAGCTGGAGCTGCTGGACTGTAACTACTACCCTTGCACACCATAACTGTTTAGAAAAGATGCAAATCTGGCAAAGCAGAGTCAGAACTCTCCTGAGCACTGGCCCATGATACTCTGTGCGTTTTTCCCCTCTCGATGATCCACAGTAAAAGCCTCTCTGCTCAGGCCTCCAGGGGGTGGTAGTGAGTTTGTGAAATTATTCACCCCTTTCAAACCAGACTGAACATCCCCAGGGCTGCTAACCTATCCAGGTCCCATTTAAATCACAAAAGAAACTTCTGTTTATACTTCCAGCTAGGATGAACGGAAGAAAGACAGGACAAATCCTAGAGTTTGAGATGTGTAGAGGTGTAGCAGTGCATGTGTGCGCGTGTGTGTGTGTGTGTGTGTGTGTGTGTGTGTTTCCATTCACTCTATTTCCTCCATCTCTTCTCTCTCCCTCCCTTAAAATTCAGTCTGTGGCCACTAGAGGTCTTTTCTTTTCACATGGTAGCTGCTGTGCAGTTTGTTCGGCTTTTTATTTATTCCTACGTGAGCAGACCCACTACACTTCTTGCATATCAACAGTGAAAATTACAATATAAAAGACTTTCTTCCCCTTCTTTTGGAGTTATTCTGCTGCTGCCCAAAGCCAGGCTCGTCGTACAAGGATGGGGGACAGCCTCTGCAGGTAATTCCACTGCTTCAAGGTAAGAGATGTGAGAAGGGTTTATTTTTTTGTGATCTATCATCTTCTAAAAGAGAATGCTGTCATCTCTTGTCTCATAGACAATAGTTTACTTTTAACGCTTTGGCTTAAATGAGCTCTAGGTTTAGGAGCTTGTATGGGTGTGCGTGGTGCTGTGTGGGGAAAATCCACCATTGTCAAAACTGCAGGCTGCCCCGAATGCATAGAATACAGAATGCTTATTTCTAATGGCTTGATTTGAATTTGAAGAGGGTAAAAACAGAAAATGCAAACCTGGAGCTCAAGTTGCCAGGAATAGCCTTTGAAAGATTGCTTTCTCTAAATCCCTCTTTAGGGAAACTTCTATGCTTAGAATTGAAAGAAAAAAAAAAAGGAAAGAGACAAAAAAGGAGGGGGATTCTAGTTCCCATTAGAGAGTGCCCATTTTATGAAAGAAACCATCATTTCATTAGGAATCGGTCAATGTGTTAGAGTTCAGCGATCAATCAAAATTACTTTTACCAGCTTGTTAATTTCTTTGTTCTAACTATAACATAAAAAGTCCCAGCCGGGTGCCTTTCAGTAGGATTTGTAGTGCAACGTGACTGAAGTTTGGACAAGTTACCTGCATTTGGCTGTTAATGAAAAATGGCAATGTTTTACTTCCAGCTGGGAGCATCCTGTTTAGGTACTATAGTGTCTAGCTCACTTTAGTATCAAATCCTTCAGAAATCACGCAGACACGAACAACTGATATCTGAAATGGAGCAAGATACCAGTAGCAGCTTCGTGTTCAGAAAATGTTCTTCTCTGTCATTTAAATTTAAAAAATACTTTGTCACACAATGACAGACTGATGGAATAACATTATGCTTCTCTGACGTGCATCTCTTTTCCAATAGAATCCTTAAGATTACAGTTGCTTCTTGTCCCTCTTCCTTTTTACGAGTTTGAGACCATGCTTCCACAACCACCATCGCTTACTTTATTACAAAGGAATTGGGGCGGGGGTGGTGATCATCGTGCATTTGTTCTAGTAGCCAAAAGAACCCTAACACTGACATTGCTCAAACTTTATAGCTGAGGATCCCAAACTGGAGCCTCACCAGCAATCTGGAAAAGCCTGAATACTACACGGGAGACGGAGGGGTAGGGGATCCCCTGTAGTTCAGACAAATGAGAATCCCCTTTTCCTATCCCTGGCAGAAGTCCTGTAATCGACATGTATTTACTACTAAGGCATGAGGCAACCACTCATCCATACCCAAGTAGCACGCCAGGCGCCTGGATAGGAAATTGCTCCTTAAAACAGAACACCAGTGAGACTTGCGTATTAAATTCCAGAGAGATACTGAATCCAAGGCTCTGGTGCAAACCAGGCAGAATCACCTCACTTCTATTGAGGTGGTTTAAAATGTGGCTAATGAATTGCAGCACAAGGCGACACGGTTTGAAACTAGGTCAAATGTGTAAAAATAAGTACAGTCATCACAGGCACTTGGATGATGAGGGGCCGCTTAATGCCATGAGAGGTGGGACTTATGGCTATATAGAACCCCCCTTCAGTGATCCATGACGATCAGTTGTTTTAATTAATTCAGCCCATCAGCACGCAGCCAGGTCTTACACACATGGGAGAGAGGTGCAACTCCATGGGAAAAGAGTGAGCAGTAAGGATTTCTTCACTATGTGATAGGAGAGAGAGAGAGAGAGAGAGGGAGAGAGAGGGAGAGGGAGGGAGAGGGAGGGAGAGGGAGAGAGAAGGAGAGAGAGTGAGGGGGGGGAGAGGAACAATATTGTGTGAGCAAAATTAAGACAGAACACTAGATGACTTTAATCTGTAAATGGCCTTTCTCAAATCACTGTATTCTCCTTTGCATTAAAAAACACCATCATCACATTGATTATGCCAATACTTTTAGTACATAACACTCAAGTTAACCATATCTATTTAACAACCTCTAATACAAACAGACCTACACACACACACACTCACACACACACACACACACACACACACACACACACACACACACACACAGAGTCCTGCAGTGCTGGGTGAGCCAAGGCAGAGGTTATCAGTTTGTCTTGCCTCAGAGAAGAAACAAAATAGGGGAGAGGGCCTGGGTGCTGAGGAGGGAGGCATCCCCCGCTTCACCTGGGGTTAGTGGGAGTGATATTGCAGAGGGAGAGAAACAGCCAACTTCGGAGCTTGCTCCCTAAATGCCAACATTACTATGAGATACCAGCTGATGACATGTTGCTATAGTAACTTCAAATAATGTGCACAACCAAAATAAAATAAAATAAAATATAGAAAATGCCAAAAAGAGGAGATGAAGGAAAGTTTGCATGCCGAGGGAAGCTCACAAGGAGATGAAAGTTCTTTCTATGAGCCATCCTCTGAAAACTGAGAGTGGCCAAATGCTGCTCTGGGTTGCTTCACTATTCACCCTCATGTCTGCTGTGTGGTTATGTAACAGATTTTAATTCATGGATAAAACTAGTGCTTGCTGTCTGTGTGGCAGG